TTTGACTTCTGTAACCCTGATTCATAGAGACTTTGGAAGAAGGGCTTTGCTTGCGTTTGATGCACCTTGTATTGAAGTAAGAAAGATTTGTGTGTCAGTCCGTTATCTTCTGGCGGAGACTTTAATTAGTTTATTTTTGGGCTCGAAGCCAGTTTGAACTGAGAACTGATAAAGAAAGTTCCTTTTAAGTTTATTTGTCTTGCCGTTTGTTAAGAGACGTGAAGGGGGGACAGAACAGCTTTCCATGAGACCCAGGAATAGAATGTATAAAATAGAGGAATCATTTCTTGCTATTTAGATTTGATGCTCAGATTGCTATTTTGGCTTAAGTAGGAAGGGATTGGGAGTTGACCAAAGAACAATATACTCCAGTGCATGGTACTTTGTACATACTGGTTTCTTTAAAAACATAAGACTATATTGCGTGAAATAGTATTTGGTTACAGTGACTTATAAACTACACATAATTTTCTCTCTGTTACATGTCCTTTCTTTTCCTGGGAAATCAAAAATTCCACATTTTTGGCTAGGTTGCTAAAAGGAAAAAAAATCACAAAGCAGTTTTGGTGGTAGATTTGAAGTGAAATAAATTCTTAATTTAGAAAGTAGCCTTTCATTTCTAAAAACACACTTTTATTATATATAAAAAAGCTTTTGATTAACATATGTGTTATATATTCTTTGTAATTTGGATGTGCATGTCATTCATTCCACTTCCAAATTCTTTTACTGGTGTCATTTTTGAAAGTTTCATAGAGAGGTTTAAGCTTATTTTTTTCTACTCTGAAATATAACATTTCCAGAGCTGTGCAAGATGATTTTGAAGGCATGGACAGAGGAAAGAATTGCTGTACTTTACATATAATACAAAATCTAGCTTTTACTTTTTTTTAAGGAAAAAATTGTACTTTAAACTGATGCAGGAATAGAATGTATAAAATAGAGGAATCATTTCTTGCTATCTAGATTTGATGCTCAGATTGCTATTTTGGCTATTTTGGAAGGGATTGGGAGTTGACCAAAGAACGTAGTGTTCATGAACTAATTTTTACTTTGGTTTTTTTTTTTTCCTCTGCAGAATGTCAGGAGTTTCAGCTTGCCTGCTTGGATCAGCACAGTCAAAAAATGTCAGAGAGGAGATCAAAGCGTAAGCTTTATTCCAGCCCTGTATTTATATAGTACTGAAAAAACACTTTTCTCAATAAATATTATTACTTCATTGAAATGAATCATATTGAACTCAGTGGGACTTATTGTAGAGAATTCTATCACAACCAAGTCTTAACCAATACTTCAACTGTATGTAACATGAATGTTAGCTTACTTTTGTCATAAAGTAATTCTGTTTTCCTTGCTTTACATAGGGGACAGTATAGAGTTGTCTATTTAACTCCGGAATTCTGTTCAGGGAACCTCTTGTGGCTTCAGCAAATTGACAAAGCAGTTGGTAAGTGCTGATAGTTGATGTGCAAAACCTTGAACGTTTTCTTTAAGAGCCACTGGAATTCTGTGTCAAATTCAAATGTGTGGTTGGAAGTCCTTTCTGCCACCATTTTCAGTAAAGCAAAGTGATGGATCTCTCTGGTGGGACTGGAGAAGTCAAGGTAGATCACATCACTTTCTTAAGGTGTAATGCTGCCTTAAATAAAATCACTCCTTTGATTAAGGACATTAAGGACATCCTAGAACATTGATAGCATGAAAACATTTAGAAAAAGTTGTAATCTTTGGCATTGCTGTGAGGTTAAACAACTTGAAAGCCCATTTAATTATGTTTTATGTTTATATATTTATTTTAAGTAATATCTTTAATTATGTCTTTATATATTTATACCTGAACAAGGACTTATGAGGATGCACAATTCTGCTAGTCAGTGGTAAACTAGTTTATGTGTATGCAAAAATATCTATAAAGCCTTCTTATACTATCTATTTTTTGCACTTTGGTGCATTGAATTCTGCAGAATGTATAAATTATGCAAATCGGCACAATTTATTTCAATGTGCACATTCTATAAAATTTGTGGAAAATGATGGAATTGATTCTCCTTTCTCTTAACCTAATTTTTTTCTTTTTAGGTTGTGGCTTCTGAGATTTCGCAGCATATTTTCAGTTTTACTTAACTGTGCACACCATTACAAATTATTGGCTTTCTGCATGTGACGAAAACAAAACAAAAAATGTTTGCAGAGACCAGCTACCTACCATATTTTTTGGAGCATAAGACACTCCGAAGTATAAGACCTAGCTTTTGGGGAGGAAAACAAGGGGAAAAAATCTGCCTCTGCCTCCGAGCAATTTGCTTCCTTGCAACAAAGAGAAAACAGTACAGACTATATACACTGTTTGTAGTATTACATTTCAGTCTATACTTGTACAGATGCTATTAAAATTGATGTGCTTTCTGGAAGTATAGTTATTCCCTGCTATTTAAAAGAAGATACAATAGCACTGGACCTCTTCAGATCAAGCATTTATTTTAGAAAGCTTCTTTGTTTTGTTAAGCTGTCTAGAACAATAATAAAGCAGTTTTTTAAAAAATAAGTCTAATAATTTGAACATTCTATAGGCATTTATAAGTTATTGACTTACCGCCTTGCAGCAAACAGCCTGATTGGCACAAGAAAATAAAATCTGCCTCTGCCTCCCAGCAATTTGCCTTGTGTAGCAAACAGCAAGTTTCACTTTCAATTTCAGCATGCGCCTCCCAATCATCAGCTTTTCCAGGCTGCAGGGATTGCCATAGCCTATTGCAGCCTTGCAAGCCCCATTTTCCCCATTTGCTGCAAGGAAGTAAATTGCAGCGAGGCAGAGATCAAAGGCTTGGGGCTGGTGGGTGGGGCTACATTCAGTGTATAAGACACACCCAAATGTTCATCCTCTTTTGGAAAAAAGGTGCGTCTTATACTCCGAAAAATACAGTAAATAGCAATAGCGCTTAGACTTATATACTGCTTCATAGGGCTTTACAGCCCTCTCTAAGCGGTTTACAGAGTCAGCATATTTTCCCCAATAACTTGGGCCTTGTTTTCCAACTTTGGAAACATGGAAGGCTGAGTCAACCTTGAGCTAGTGAGAATCAAACTGCTGGCAGTTAGCAGAGTTAGCTTGCAACATTGCATTCTAACCACTGCGCGGCCATGGGCACCATGCTGTCTTCAGAATATCTTCTAATTACATGGAAGAATTTTGATGCTGAATACCACTGGCATGGTTGTTTTTTTTTACTATTATCAGACAGAAGCACAATAAAACTATAAAACAAAACTATAAACTTCTTATTTCTGCTTTCTCACAAACTTTACTCAAGTTTTTCCAGATTACGGGTAGAACACGTTCCTTTATAGAACTAATTCAGAACTAATTGTGCATTGTGTACTTTTTAAAAATAGTTGTGATCAAGGACCTTTAAGATCATTATCTCTTTACTGGAGATAATGCTCTATTTATAGAAAAATAGATAAATTGCTTCAGCTCCTGTACGTTCTGCATACAGCTCTTTGCTCTAAATTCTGAAAATGAAAGCAAACTATACAGGACTATTTTTATTTCTCTTTAGGCATCACATTAATAGCGGTTGATGAAGCTCACTGTATTTCTGAATGGGGACATGACTTCAGAAATTCTTTCAGGTCTTTGGGATTGTTAAAGAAAAAACTTCCTAAGGTAAAAAAGCTTATTTATATTGTTTTTTTTCTGCATTTTAAATGTTTAAGTATGCATGTTTGTATATGTGTGTGTGCATGTGTGTGTTCAATGAGCATTGGAATTTCTTCGTTGGTTTTCACTTTCAGCAACAAATCCCATATGGTTTAAAACCCATATGGTTTAGAACCTATGGCATGCGTGCCAGAGGTGGCACGCAAAGCCCTCTCTGTGGGCATGTACACCGTTGCCAGCTGGTCTTCAAGCGTGTCAGAGCGCCGGAAATCCAAAGACCAGCTGGCGATGACACACATGTCCACAGAGAGGGCTCTGCGTGCCCCCTCTGGCACGCGTGGCACAGGTTCGCCATCACGGCTTTAAATTATATGGGATTCTGTGATTAAATCTGTAAACCCAAGAAAAGACTGTGACTACACATGGTGATTAAGGCTAAAAGAAATATCATTCTGTGCTTGGCTTCAGTTTGATTTGCAAGAATTAGTCTGCCATGTGAATATGCTCCATGTGTTTGTGGGAATTTAGTTGTTTGTGGTCAAGGTTTCCAGGATACATGCATGCATACTAAATACTGTACACAATTCAAAGGCTTCTGATAATTTTCCATTTCTTAACTTTGTATTGTCATTTAAAATTATTAGTAAATTCAGCTTTTTATTCTATCACAGAATTATTCTTTTTTTCTTTTTAGGTTCCTATTGTTGCATTGACTGCAACAGCAAGCTCTTCAATTAGGAAAGATATAATAGACTGTTTGAATTTAAGAACTCCTCACATTACTTGTACCAGTTTTGACCGACCTAATCTATACCTGGACGTTAGGCGAAAATCTGGAAATATAATCCAGGATTTATTGCAGTTCCTCATTCCAAAAGACAACAAGTAAGCAAGCTTTGAGATATATTGACAACTTGTTCTTAACTAGAAGATCATTTTCATGAAATAAATCTTTTAAACAGTTTTTAGAACCCTGTTTGGCTTATTTGAGGATTTGGGAGTCAATTATTAGCTTTCAGTATAATCTACCTCAGAAAATGTTCTTATGAGTACAAGCTTGAAGGTAGAATGTACGTAGTGTATATGCCAGACAGAAATGCAAATAAATCAATAAACTAAAGCTTAATTGTGGAGGTTGGAATGGAGCTTGGACATTAAAGAAACAGCAGAAGATGGATTGGTAAACAGGCTTGCTATAAAATCTGTTGTGTAAATACAGTGTTACTGATAATTGCAATCCTTTTCTTTCTGCTTTTAAAACATTGTTACAGAGGCCAGATTGGGTAGTAAAGCCGTATATTCACTTCCTAAATTATGACTGTGCAAGAAATTATTGAGCAAGAAATTATTTGTATATTTTTGGGGAAGACTGTTTAATGCAGTGTAAAGACATCTAGCCTCAATATAATATTTGTTGAGCATTTTAGGTTTTTTCTGCAAGGCATTATACAGTATCTGTTCTTGTTAGGATGGAGTTTAAATTGGGAGAGAAAATACTGTTGAAGTAGAAGGGGTTCATATTAAATAATTTAAATCTGTCAATTTAAATGTCAAAGAGAGATATATCAGCGAAACATTATATCATGCCTCTATCTACAAAGTTTTACATAAACTACCCCTTAATAAGGGAAAACGTTTGTTTTTTATATTTATTTTTTCCATTGTGGTTTTTTATTTTAATAACACAGCTTGCAGATCCTTTACATTTTAGGTTACCAGGATAATGTCATTAATTGTGTCTTTGATTGATGTTCCTTCCTCAGATTTTATAACCATGTTACTCTTTCAACCTAGCTTCCTTTAATGTATTTTCTGCATATAGGTGGGAAAGTGTGCAGCCTTGTTGTACTACTATTTCAATCTGGAGTCAGTCTGTTTCACTATGTTCTGTGTGTACTGTGGCTTCCTGACTTGTTTATTTATGTTTTATTATTTTAATGCTTTTAATCAGAGTCACTTCAAAACGAGATGGGCAGCAACTAAATTTAATAAAGAAAATGAAGAAAAACAAATATAAGTTAGGACAATGAGATACTCTGGGATTCCTATTTTTTTCAGCACTTTCCACAGCTTGACATGAGTGACACAATTGAAGGCAAAAAAGAAGAAAAAGCAGTGAGCAAAATAACTAAATAGCTAAATAAATAGAGGAAATGATAAGGAAAAAAACCTATTTTCCACCACAAACTTGACATTGCAAATTCTTGACATTGCAAAAAAAGAGTGTCACACTTTCAGAAGCCTTCATTTTGTATTCTTAACAATTCTTTCAATTTTAGTCATATACACATTTTGCACTTCCTTTGTCCTGTTTTCAGTTTTATTCCTTTGTCATAAGCATTCCTTGACTCATGCATAAAATTTATATTTGAAACAGAGTTTTGGCAGATCTTCACCAAGTAGCATTCTTGTTCATTCTTGGGTTTCCACGTGACCTAAAATATTTTTGTACTTTGATATTATTTTCATCCATGCATTGACATGTACATTAATCTTTGCTCTGGATTACATTCCTTAGTATTTTGAATAATTCCCCCCATATCATATCATAGTTAGTAGAATTTAACTTGCAGTTGTTACCAATCCTATATTGCTATTTTCAAAGAGAAAATAAGATGAACAAAGAGCAAACTAATTCATATTTTCTGATCTTTAGCATTGCTTTCCTGCATATATTTATCAGTTCTGCTTCATAAGATCAGACTACCTTCATCAGGTTTATTACATCGTTCACCTTAATTTTATAACATATCTATTGAAAGTTTTCATTAGTTCTCCTTATATTCATTACATTATATTTGTTCTCTTTACATTTATTTCTCTTTGATTGCAAGTTGTAATCTTTCATGTAGCCTGATCATTCACAGATGGATCCATATGTTTTGATTTCAAATGCCCATTAAGTCTTTGTCAATTGAAGCTTCCACATAATGTTTTCTTCGTAAAATAAAGAGTCATTTAGTTCTACAAATGCCTTGCAAATATATAAATCATATTATTAGTCTTTTTCCCATGTGATATGGGGCGAGAGGAATGGCCTTGAGAGACAGATGAAAGCTGCTGCCAAGGCAACAGTTAGATAAAAGAAACCTGAGTCTTGGGCAGGAATGCAATGTATGCAGATGTCTCAGACAAGGCCTTTTCTAGTTCACACAGAAATAAAAGGGGGGACGGAAGGCACATTCAAACTTGCAAGATTCTGTTGCTATAACTTTACAATAAAATTAGTGTTAGGTTACATGAATTTGGTTTCCTAATTGGACCTATTGAAGGCCTGATATGTGAACCTGTGTTTGACGAAAAGGCAATTTTAATGTAATGTAAATTGACATTGAGATTTATCATACACTAATCAGTTTATTAGCTATTCTAATAATTACTGGAAAAACCTCACATACAAATGGTTTCTACTTATTTTTCTAATCTTAGGTCTACATATGAATTTGAGGGCCCCACCATTGTTTACTGTCCATCAAGGAAGACTACTGAACAAGTAGCTGCAGAGCTAAGAAAATTAAATCTAGTTTGTGGTATATACCATGCTGGCTTGGGAATCAAGGCAAGAAAAGATGTCCACCATAAATTCATGAGAGATGAAATTCAGGTATGGAACAACTTAACTTGTTATCTAATTTAGGCAAATGAAATATACAGAAGAAGCTTTCCATATATAAAACAACATAAACATGGGGACCTTGGTGCTCTCTGAGCTTAAACCAAGCTCAGAGACCACCAAGGAGCCCACAGTTCAACTCTAAGCAACAAATAATCAGTTCTATTGGTACCATATAAATGTCTTGTTTTCCTTTTCAAAATCAGGACCCACTAGTTAATAAATTGATTATGTCTTATTAAAGTTGATATATTAATTCTCTATGTTTTTATTCATAGGATCTGGCTATATGTATTTTCTAGCATTTTA